TATAACATTAAAACTAGCAAATATTTAGATCCCCAGTCTTTTTGAGTTGAATTAGTGATTATGTCTTATATAACCCTAAACTGTAGACTCCCGAACACAAGTCACAGCAGACTCTGTGTCTAGTTTCCAGTCAGAACGTACAGTCATTAGTCAGTCCACATTCATCATGTTACCGTGAAACTAACGGGAGGGACCTGCAATGCGCTGTGGCGACCTGCAGGGCCACTGCAGCTCTCTTAGCCAGTGTGACGTGCTTACCACACTGCAGAAGTTAAGGACAGGGGTTGAATGAATCACTAGTTATGCCTTCAGACGTGGAAGATGGGTGCCACCACGTGTTTCCATCATAAAAGTCTATAGTCACGAGTTTACCTCTGCAGTAAACAATTCCCCATCAGTGTGAAACCTGGCACAGTTCAACTTTCCCCTAAACTAAAGACTCTCCAAGTTATCAAATGCCACCCTCACTTAGTTCTCTGGGTTCAGCACACCGTTTCTAAACGGAGGTGTCCAGTTCTGGACCTGCAGTAGCTGCTCCCACCAGCACAAAGCCACACACTCAGTGGATTTTACCCCTTGGCTGGTGAGGCAGTAACTACAATAAGCATCGGCCAAGAGGATTGACCGAAGTATGAAACCCTCTTTACCACCTAATGCAAACAGGATCGTATCCCAGGCACAGGGAAACGACTACAGAAGAAAGGTTTGCACAAATGCAAATGTTATATATAACCCAGTAAAAAAATTAATTTCTATTATTACTTAAAACAACTGATCAACCGAGTGAGTCAGGATTAAAAGCCACTTTACACTTTGAACAGAAAATCCAAACTATACTTACTGATTGCTGGAGCTATTCCACCTACGGAGCCAGGACCTGGGATGTTTCCCGCCACGGCCGCGGCCTGGGCAGCAGCTGCAGCCTGTGCAGTGGCCGCCTGCTGCTGCATCTGCCGGTGACACTGGCGCAGATCAAAGACCTTGGAAAGCAGAGTGTGAGTTTACCAGCGAGTCCACCACCAGAGACAGCACTCCTCAAGAGCTAACATGCAACACAGCAACAACTCCGTTCCTTGGCCTCTCGCAAGAAGTGAGCTAATCACGAGGCTTTTAAATTTCAGGGCTTTTTCAAAGTACTCAGGCTTTTTCAAAGTACTCAGGCTTTATCCTCAGCACCCACACGGCAGCTCCAGTCCCAGGGGATCAGATACCCTCTTCTAGCCTCCAAGGGCTCCAAATCCTCAGGTGGCACATAGACATACATGAAGGCAAAGTACCCGGACACATAAAATAATTTTTCAAAAGAAGTTTTTTAAATTTTTATGCATACTGTATAGTTTAGAGATCAGCACGAGGTAAATTTCACTGTCTAGAAGGACCTGTGTGAGCCAGCTGTCCCTAGCTGTGTGAAGAGCCACCTATCTGTGTCACAAACAAACAAGAAACTACCCATCCTATCAGAGCTTTCTTTGGGTTATCGAGGGCATAGCTTTGTATAGCTGGCTAACGTCTTTGACAATGCTTGCAATGTGAAAAAGTATAGCAAACTGCACTGTCACTATCTAGGAAACACCTGTATTTTAGCTATTACATTTAAAAAACTGACTTTTGTTTGTGTATGCAATGTGTATGCAGATGCCCAAGACAACGAGAAGAGGGTGTCTGATCCCCTGGGCCTCGAGTTACATGTAGCTGTGAGACACCTCATGTGGGTGTGCTCGGAACCCAACTTGGTCCTCTGGAAGATCAACAAGTACTCTTAACCACGGAGCCATCTCTCCAGGCCCCACACCCACATCTTTGTAAGAATCATACATTAGTACCTAGAATACAGTAACAAAACAAAGGCCTCCTTTCAAATATTCCAGAGAAGGACATTTTTTAAAGAGTAAACCAAACAATTATAAGAACATAACTATTTTATTTAAGTGATGGTTAAATGGAATTTCATGAAAATGGTTTCTATTTTCAACTTTGAAAACGTTTATGATTTTTAAAAGGGCCAGTTTTGATCACCAACAAGTTACATGTGCTAAGTTTCTTAACCTCCTCAGAGCTTATCCCTAAAGTAGGAATATTAAACACACCTACTTCCATAGGGTAACTAACTCTACGTTTGCTATTAACAAATGTTATTGTTTTGCTTTAGGCCTTCCTGGTGGTCACTTCTCTTTCCAGATGAATTAAGGAAGACTCCGTAAGTCATTTCTCCTCCAGAAGACAAAGACTGACATAACAGAGCAGGCCAACGGCACTTCACAAATACTGGAACGTTAGTTCAAAAATAACAACTTATGAGTAACAAATCACCTCCTTACCTGAGAAAAACATTTGCATTTGAAATTTACTTCCCAAATTAATACTCTTACCATTTTAATAAGATGTGGAAGAGTCCACAGAAAGAGTACAAGGCTGTGAGAGAGGCCAGAAGAGGCAGAAGCAAGGCTGTGCACTGGGTCACTTTAGCTTCTGAACTGTGGGACTTGACTCCTATTTAAAACATAACTCATTCTTGAAGTTTGGAATGCAGATAACCCAAGGACACACTACCCTATCACTGAAAATGAGGAAATCAGAGTGTACATAACTTTCTACTTAGTAATAATAGGTTTGGGACGAAATCCATAAATTTTCTGATGCTTAAACTGTCTTAACCACAGTATTTAAACATGAATGATAAATTCAACAACAATAACACAATCTCTCCAAATAACAAACCATAATCATATTTATTCCTTAACTCAGTGTCCATTTTCTAAAAATCAAGAAACAAAACCTTTCTTAACCGGCACATTTGAAAACAAACCCAAGAGCACCCTTCTCTTAGAGAAGTGATAAATAGGATGACTAGCCAACTATAAAGTCCCCAAAGACTTTCAAAGATGAATTTGACAAAGCCAAGTACTGGGGATCAGGAGTTCCTCGATGCCTAAGACAGAAATGCTACTTTTTGCAGTCCCCAACAGTTTCTGGGACTCTCAACTTTTCCACTGGGTTTTACCTTTAGAAGGCATTATCTAGCCCAGCACAAAGCGTGTTCAAACCCTTTTACATCTGAATAGTTCTACACCATTTTTATATTTATTTATTTATGCTTTTTGAGACAGGGTTTTTCTGTGTAGCTTTGGAGCCTGTCCTGGAACTCACTCTGTAGACCAGACTGGCCTTGAACTCACAGAGATCCTCCTGCCTCTGCCTCCCAAGTGCTGGGATTAAAGGCATGTGCCACCACCACGCCGCACAACTTGGATTTTGAACAAAGGAACTGATATATTTCACTTTTTAGAGCAGTTTTGTGTTCACAGCAAAACTGAACAAGAAGTTCAGAATTCCTGTCTTCCCCCACATGAGCCTCATTTGTTATAATCCATCAATTCTACCCTAAATTATCATTATCAACAAGTCAATACCTGACTAAAGTTTGGGGCTCCTGATGATGCGCATCCTATAGGTGTGTACACACTTATGACATCACATGTCTACCAGTCACACATCATACAGAACACTCCAAACGTCACCAACCCTGTGTCCTGCTTTACTCATTCCTCCCATCAACCTCAAATCACCACACATCATCTAACTAGTCCTGTGTTTTTTTTATTTTCCCGGTTTCTGTGGGGTGTAGCTCTTTATTTGAATTTTTTTTTTCATTTTATATACCAACCACAGTTCCCCTCCCTTCCCTCCTCCCGCTCCCCTCCCATCTCCCCCCCCACAACCCTACCCTCATCCACTCCTCAGAGGGTAAGGCCTCCCATGGGGAGTCATCAAAGTCTGGCATATCAAGTTGAGGCAAGAAGTTCATTTGTTTTTTAACACTGAGTACACCACTTTCTAATATACCAGTGTTTAAGGCATTCACATGCTGAAGGACATGCTGGCTGGTTTCAAGTTTTGACAACTATGTATAAAGTTAATATGAACATTTGTGTGCAAGGTTTTTCTATGTGTGTATGTGTAGACTTAAATTTTCAATTTACTTCGGTAAATGTCTAAGCATCATTGCTGAATATGATTGAATGGGAAGAATGTTTTGTTTTATAAGAAACTTATAAACTCTCTATTAAAACAAGCTATCCCATTTCCTATTCTCACCAGCAATGAATGAGTTTATCTCCCCAGATTTGATACTATCACTATTTAGAATTCTGACTACTGTACTGGTGCTTGCTCTGCCCATGACCTTGGGCTATAGGGCCCAAAGGATGCAGTGCTTCCTGCCCTTGTAAGTGACCTCTTAAAAGGAAAGGGAGAAGGATCAGCTCCCTTTTCCTGCTTCCTAGTGTGATCAACTGCCAGGCGGATACCCTCCCAGTCAGATCAGAGGACCACTTCAGCTGTCTACTCCATTCTGTATTCATGAGTGTATTTCCTCAATTTACCCTAATAAATTTCCCTAACACTCCTTAGCAGACTCTCATGGATATATCGCGTTTTCTGGCACCCAACCATGTGGATCTGAGCTCCACTCGACCTTACGGGGGCCACTCTCATGACCAAACCCTAATGCCCTCGGGAGGCTGCTGGTGAGTTTCTTCCCTCAGGAACTGCTCTGGTGACCGCTTGCATACAGCCGCTGTGCAAGGAGCCTATAGGCCAGGCAGCTCATGCAGCAGCGGTTCCTGCAACCACTGCTGCATTCTGCAGTGGATAGAGCACCGCGTCCGAGGAAGGTGCCTATGCTAGGCGCCTTTAGTTCTGTGCTTGTAGCAACCTGATCATGTCACAGTCCCTCGCTGGTGAGAGACAACCAACAGATTGTCCCTTCTCTTTGAAAACGGTTCAGTGCGGCTGCTGACAATTCTGGGACATCCTGGACTGTCGCCCTCAAGAGCGCCCCCGCCCAGCAGCCCTTCTCCCCTGCCTCCCCTGCCGCCAGCCACCACCGCCGCCATTGTTCGGTGGACGGCTTCATTTGTTGTGATCCCTGCAGCTCTGCCCAGTAGTCAGGGGTAGGGGCTGCCTGGGTTGGTGTTTGAGTCACAGAGCTCACACCAGACCTGCCTTGTACCTTACACCTGAGACACCTGCTGGCCAAACATCGCTACTACACCCAACAACCATGGGGAGAACTGGAACATCTGAACACCTAGGACTGTTAGGACCAGCTCTCAAGGATTTCATCTGAGGTAAAATTACTCAGTAATTTTACACTTCAAACTGATTAATAAAGACAAATTAATAATTTTTTTTTACAAATTTTGATTATTTCTCAAAAATGACAGATAATATCACCACTCAGGAATTAAAAATTTTTTGTACCATGAATGAAATTTTATAAGACATATATGACCTTCCTGGGATATATACAATGCTCATCATAATAGCAATTAGCATAGTGATTCATCTCATATCACTGAAAGATTGGCTTAATAATAACAGAAAAAAGACATTAATGGGACTGATACAGGCTTTGCAGAGTGGTAATGAGGACTTAAATAGAAGTATTCTTTCTATGTAATCTGCTAATTTACCTCAAGAACTTCAGGCTTTGCAGAGCAGTAATGAGAATTTAAAAAGACAGGTTCTTTCTTTGGAATCTGCTAATTTGCCACAAGAACTTCAGTCCGTTAATAACAATAACTGGACAAGCAAATTTAATTCTGTTGATAATAAATATGAATACTTAATGGATAAAACAATAACTCTTCAGAGCAATCTTAATAATATTCAGATAATTTCTAAGGAGGAAAGATAATTTCTAATTTCTCACAGGAGAAACCCCTTGATGAGGAGAAATAACAGCTCATCCACTGATGTCACAACTTTACAAGTTGTAAGCAGGGTTCTGCTTTTTGTTTTTATAGTATAATAGAAATACCCATCTTAAGGAAATCACAAGGCCTTGGACACCTAGACATCTACAGCATAAAGGAAGAACCTATTGGTACCAATATACTCTACAGGGTAGTACCTCACTGCCTAACATCAACATCTCCTCCCTGGCCACCATGAATCATTAAAGTCAACCAAATAATCTTCACATATGGGGACAGTAGAATCATGTTGTAAAATATCACATACACAACTGAATGCATATGTCAAGAAACCACAAAATGAAAACCGATGACTTGAATCTGAAGATAAATAAGTACGATGCACCAGATACCTCAGCAAACCTTTTCCCATAGAACATACAATACTAAAAGTGGAAAACAAAATCTTCAGTCAAGCTATATAACATTAAGACCTGTGTTGCTTACTGGCTTATCACAGGAAACAGTTGTCTATGCACACAGCAGATCTTTCTTAGTGAATGGTAAAATAAGTGCAACCATTGAAATGATACCAACTTCCATTCCAAATCATCTAAGTTGTTGATAGAAGCAATTCAAAAGAACCAAAGGTTGTAAATACTCTTTTTAGCATAGATTCAAAAACGTATTTCAGACCAACCACTCCTACACTAATGAACAACTTAATTATGCTTTCATTTATTTATGATCATGTTTTCTGTAGTTACTCTCATGCAAGTTTATTACAAACTCATTACATAATACATGTGAGTATAACATCTTCAGTATATTATCTTTCAAACAAAAGCCAAAATTTGAATTTTTTCCTAAGGCTCAATTATAATTCTGCATCAGCTTGAATTAATATCAGCTGAAAAGAGAAACACACAGTGGTGTAGTATGTATGACACCTGAGTATTAAGACTGCAAAAAGGATTTACTAAGTTACCTAACCTAAAGACAGAGATCATAATATGGAGCTAGAAAATGGTGCAGTGCTTAAGAACACTTGTTATTCTTGCAGAGGACCAAGGTGTGATTCCCAGTACCCACATGGTAGCTTACAACCATCTGTAATCCCATTTCCAGGAGACTCGACACCCTCTTCTGACCTCTGCAAGTATTGGGCATACATGCATCACACATACATATGCTGGCAAAACACTGATACATATAAAAATAAAGAAATATAATAAAAAATATGCAGATGTTGGGAGTAAATTAAACTTAATGGGTTCATAACGCTTTTCAACCTAGTTCCACATAAACAGCTTTTAGTTTTAAAAGCATATCCTGCTTCGTTGCCCCAATATGTATATGTTCAAAAACAAATCTGATTCCATATCAGAAATGCTACTGAAACTGCCGAGGGAATTCCACTTCATACCCATTAGTGCTGATGAAAAACAGATCAACTGGAACCTTCATACATGCTAGTGGGAATCTATTTTTGTAAAATGGCTTTTTGTAGAATGGTCCAGCAGACTGTCCTAGTTAGGGTTACTGTTACTGTGATGAAAGACCATGGCCAAAGCAACTTGGGAGGCAAGGGTTTATTTCACTCACAGTTCCATTTAACAGTTCATTATCAAGAACAATGGGAGCAGGAACTCAAGCAGGGCAGGAACCTGGAGACAGGAGCTGATGCAGAGGCCATGGAGGGGTGCAGCATACTGGCTTGCTCCCCATGGCTTGCTTAGCCTGCTTTCTTAGAGAACCCAGGACTACCAGCCCACGGGTGGTACTACCCATAATGCCCCCCACCCCTCATCAATAACTAAGAAAATGCCCTATAGGCTTGCCTGAAACCAGATGGTATGGAGACATTTTCTCAACAGAGGCTCCCTCAACTGAAAAGCTGACTCTAGCTTGTATCATGTTGACATAAAACTAGACAGCATACAAATCTTCCAGAAGTAAAAGTTACTTTAAAATTTGGCAGTCTTTAGATAGTAAGACCTATCCTAGAGACAACACATGCCTTGGTCAAAGAACAGATAAACCAAGCGGAAACTGGGCTAGAAGCTCTCACAGTGTTAGACGATGCCTGGCAGGCAACTCCAGAACTGTCCTCAACACTGTTACTCTGAGCACAATACAACCGACTGACCACACAGGCAAGATGTGCCTATTGGAGCAACAGGAGCAAGTCTGTCTGGAAGTAACCAACCACTTTCTCATTATGTTTGAGACAAGCTCCACAGGGAAACTCATGTTGCCTACTATAAACCTGACCCAAACCCAGAAGCTTGGTCAGAGGCCCTAGTACGGAAACTACTGCTGTTTTGCTAAGTGGACATAACATGCTCATCAAATTACCTTCTAAATACTACATTTGTGCCCACCCATTAGTGTTGCCAGCAACTTCATTCAGAAAAACTTTTTGCAGTCATCAGTGGTAACCACAGAGACACAAAACTGACCACAGTGCTGAGAACTAAGTGACTACTGGACACTATTCATAAGTAGGAAATCTGTATTACCTTCTCCAGTGTTCAGGGAACAACGCAGAAGGAGTCGGGATGTAAGAGCTGGGGAAGGAGGGAAAGTGATGTGGGACGCTGACTTCTGAGCACTGACGTGGCTGACACACTCTTCAACTCAGGAGCTAAGATCACTTGCACAAGATCGACACATGACTGGGCCATCAACAGCCTGTCATGGAGGGGGGAGGGGGGACTCATGGGGCCTCCGTTTTACTCTGCTAATGCTTGTTCAGTTTTTTCTTCAATGGTGTAGCCACTGTTAAGGAACCTATGCTTCTGTAAATCAACTTTAATGAAACAGTAAGTCACATATAAAAAGATGAAAATAGATCACCTATATGTATGAAAATGTCACAGTTACTACATTATTATGTATAACTAACATACCCTAAAAGACATGGCCCTTCTTTCTAGAATATTTTTTAAATGGTTTGAAGATAATTGTGTAATTCTGTAAATATACTAAAAATTACTGAACTGAATACTTAAAATGGATGATTTGTATGACATATGAATTACATTTATCTCAACAAAGCTGTCGAAAACCAAAATTCCCAGGACTAAAACACAAAATAAAATAGACCTTCCTTCTGGAGGTAAAAGTGAGGTGACTGGACAGATGGCTGCATGGCTGAGAGCACAAACTGCTGTCGCAGATCGCCCACCATGGCACATCACAATCACCGAAAGCTCCAGTTCCAGGTTATCTTATGCCCTCTTCTGACCTTTGCAGACACCAGGCACACATGCAGTGCATGCATATGCATACACACACACACACACACACACACACACACACACACACACACACACAAAATGAAATAAAAAATAAAAAGCACCCCCCTTTTCTAAGTAAAAAAATAAGGCCACATAAAGAAAAAAAAATCACTTGCTCTATTTAAATTTTAAAAGCCAGATGTAGTAGAGCATACCTGTATCCCAGTGACCAAAATGTAGAAGCATGAAGGTCACGAGTTCAAGGCCATCAAATTCAAGGCCAACATGGGACACATGAAACCCTATCTCAAAAAACAAAAAACACTAATACATTTTTTTTACCTTGTTTTAATTCAACAGGGAAGTGTCTCTGTGTATATTTTCCAGTGTGTAGGCACTTCTTCCAGGGCTCACATTATTTGTATACAATTTACTCTAGAAATTCACTCACCCCCGGTGAGAATCTACCTGAGCAGCAGTAACTTGAATATATCCTTTTTTCACTGCTGCCAAACAAATTAGCAAAGTCAATTTAAGATTTATTTATACCTGTCTAATAAGATTATTCTGAAGAGCATAAAAGTTGTTAAAAAGTGGCGCACACCTTTAATCCCAGCACTCAGGAGGCAGAGACAGGTGGATCTCGCTAGTTTGAGGCTACACTGAGAGTGTTCCAGGACAGGCACAGCTACATAGTGAAACATTGTCTCAAAATATAATAATAATAATAATAATAATAATAATAATAATAATAATAAGTAAATGACTTTAAATCTTAGACAGCTAATAGGAAAAAGTAGGACATTGTTGTAATGTCAAATATTCTATCCCACAAGTTATTATCTATAGTTCATTGCAAAAATATGTGGTTGCCATAAAAATCTCTTCACTACAGTGAAATATTAAAATGACTTACCAAAATGTAAACACAACTGTTCAATGAATGATTCAGACTAGCCAAAAGAACGAAACTATCAACCAATAATACAGTAAGGCAGGCAGGCAGACAGACAGAAAGACAGACAGACAAAACCTCACAGCAGACAGCTGAGACTGAAGACAAAACCACAACTGCCAAGACTGAAGGAGGGTAAGATAGACCCAACTATCTGCAGTCTGAAAAGAACAGTGCTGTGGGATGGTCTGTATGTTAAATGTGTTGCTCTGATTGGTTAGTGAATAAAACACTGA